TTGGAATGTTCAGGACTTGCTGTCATAGGGTAGTTGTGTTCTGGTGAAGACATAATGCCCTTTCTGTTATTGATTGTATTCTTATACTGACATCTAGGTATGTGGATAAGTGTGAGTATAGGTCTAGGTGTTAATTCCTGTGTTTGTGTTATTGGATGGGTATTTTGTTCCTTGGTTTCTGTTTCCTCCCTGGTCTTCTGTCCTACATTGCCAAGAGTTGTTGTGATTCATAAGTACAGATAGGTGTCTGCTGGGATTTTGGGGGCCTTGGGTCTCCTGATCTGGTTTCCCCCAATGGCAATGGTGAGTCTTCCTGGGTCTCTAGATCCAGACTGGTTTCCTCTAAGCCTGAGTCCTCCTTTTGTTGTCTAGGACTAGTCTTGTCTCCAGTAAAAGTGTTGTAGCTGTTCTTTTGAATGTTGTGGACTGCAATCCGGCCTATGGCATCTGTTCTTCCAAGTATGTGGCCTGTCTAAGGGACTATGTTATCTTCTGGTATTCTGGGGAATAGCTACTTGTACACTGGTGAACTGGAGAGGGTGGTTGTAGCTGGTGTGGTCTGCACCTCAGTGGTGAAATATATTTGGGGTAGAAGGAAGAACCTAGAAAAAACAGGGTTAGGAACAAGCTGGAAATATGTTGTCATTGGAGAGAGATTCTACTTCTCCTAGTAGGTGAGTCACACATCTGTGCTGGCTTTTGTGGCGTGTGTCTGCTTCTCACATGTCTTCTGGGTTTGGGGAGAGGGTCTGGTTGAGTGCTGGGAACTGGATTGGAAGGTGTGGGCTTGAGGAATGCTTTCTGGGTACAGATGAAATGATGGGACTTTTATCTTCAGATAACCAACTACTCTCAACTTGGACATATGCCAGTATAATAGGATTGAATCCAGTTCTATAAACTAACCAAATGTTCAAGGCAGAAGAGGACACATACCTGAGAGGAGGACCTAATTCTTCCAGTTTCCAAAGCCAATAACATTTCTGTTTTCTAAATACATATCCCTATACAGAGATATAAGTGTAGCTTGTATCCCTCTTCTTCTTCTTCTTCTTCTTCTTCTTCTTCTTCTTCTTCTTCTGCTTCTTCTTTGTTTTTTTTTTGTTTTTTAGTTTTTTGGTTTCTTGAGACACGTTTTTGTCTGTGTAGTTTTGGAGCCTATCCTGGCACTCGCTCTGGACACCAGGCTGGCCTCGAACTCACAGAGATCCGCCTGCCTCTGCCTCCCGAGTGCTGGGATTAAAGGCATGCGCCACCAACGCCCGGCTTGTATCCCTCTTCTAAGTAGTGTCTTTTTTACAACAGATGGGAATGTTGCAGTTCAAAACTTGGAGAATAAGTAACAATGGGGTGCCAACATGTGGACTGTGTATGGGACTATTGAGCAAAATGAGCAACACTAAACGTACTCAGAGATTTTTTATATACACGCACTTGTATATATAACAATAATTATAGAAGAGTTCATGTGTCAGGCTGGCCTAATAAAGAAAGCATTGTAGCAAGCCTTGTCTCTTAATTTTCTCATCCTGAGAGTGGCAGGAGTTTTGCTGCTTCCCATGCTTTTCCCAGGTGCCAGGAGACCCCTGGTGTTCAGGTTCTCTAAGTCTATATGTGTCCCAATGTATGTAGCAGCTGAGCCTCCAAGGCTGCAGGGAATGGTGGTTGCTCATTTGACCTCTGAAACATCCACGCTGGACTTCCTATGACTTTATAATTTTCCATTCACTCGCCAATGTTACCATTGACTATGCAAATAAAGCTCCCTTGATGTTCTTGTGTCAAGCAATGACATACCACTGAATGGACCCAACTGGCCCCTCCTCCTAGGGTAAAATGTCCCTTGTTGCCTCCAAATAAGCAAACTCCAGGTCTCTTCTTCCTGTCATACAGAAGCTGAGACCCTGCTTTCTGCCCAAGTCTGATCCAGTTTCCCTTCCCAGTCATTCCAGGTTTTGCAGTGGCTCCAGCCTGGCAGTCATGAATTTAAGAGGGAGTGGGGAAGGTCAAAGAAATTAGTGGGGGGATAAGTTGGAGTAAACATGATCTATATATAGTAAACATGATCTATATATCATTTGTGAATGATATTCTCAAAAACACAAAATTTAAAAATAGAAATGTTTATTACATGTTCATTCTTTATTAATTTTATGCTTATAGATATGTAAATGTCATAATAAATGACTCAATAATTTGGAACACAAATGTGAATTAAAATATGAGTTAAATTTTCAGTTAATTTGTTCATTAGTTAATTTGTTCATTAATTTGTTCATTCAGTTAATTTGCTCCTCACCAAACACACAGATGTTCTCTCTGATAGCTGTGGCCATCATTACATTGGGGCCACTCCAAAGTTGCTGAGTCTTAATAGGCAGTGCTGGCCTGGGCTCTGAAACCGCGTTACTAGTAGACTTCACTACAGCTCACTGGTCTCAGGGATACAGCTCCTTGGGAGGATAAATGAGGGCTGGACCTCTCTACTGCCTGTCTGTAGACCTCAGAGTCTGTTTCCCTTCTTTTTAAAAATTTCCAGGTGCTTGTACCAAACTTTATCCCTAGTCCACACATCTTATCAGGACCCTCAGACTTTAAGGTATTATAGGTAAAAGAAGGAACTTCTAGTATTCTGGGCTTATGCAGCTCATGTCTCTTAGATGAAATACATATCCCCAGTACAAGATGTCGTAAGATTCTGGTCACTTAAATGCTCAGAAGAGAGGAAAGAAGAAACAGTGCAGAGATACCAGCAAGAGTCATGCAAGGACTCCCTAAACTAGTAAACATCCACTTGCCTAGAGGTCTCCTATCTCTAATCTGGACTCAGTTACAGAGACACCATATACAAGTTGCATTGAACTCTTCAGAACACTCAGATGATGCTGGAGGACAGGATTGAGCAGTGTGGGACACTATCTCAGCCATTCAGCTAATATGTTTTACATTTATCTCTATATCTTGACCCCACCATGCAAAATAGGGTCCCAGGAATGGATTCAGCACACCTGGGCCAACTACTGGATGTGAAGTTCTAGTCTCTGTGTGTAATCTTACCTGCTTTCTCCTTCTCCTTCTCCTTCTCCTTCTCCTCGTCCTCCTCCTCCTCCTCCTCCTCTCCCC